TGTGGGATCCGAACCGGGGCCCTCTGGCGTCCCAAGCCAGCTCTTAACCAACGCGCCACTCGGCCGGCCCATAAAATGCATTTTAAAAGGATCACTCAGGCAAGAAAGGGACTGAAACTGGGGCATCAATTATGAATTCATTCATTCACTCATTCAGCAAACATTTACTAAGGACTTTCTATGTATGTAAGTCAATTTGTTAGTCCTCAGAACTATCAAGATAGATTAGCCATGGTCCTGGTTCTCAGTGTGTTTACACTCCAGTTCTGGAAGGGACTAACAAGGAAAGATTTCAGTATAAAATGGTACTATCTGTACAAGGCACAGTAGGAGCAGAAAGGAGGGAAGGGGATAATCAGGATGCTCAAATGTAATTAGGGGATTGATAATCAGGGGATGCCCAAATCCGGAGTTGACATTTGAGCCCAGTCTGGAAAGGATACAAGGTGTTTACCAGGTGTTTACTGAACCGTTGCAGTAGTAGTTCAGGTAAAGATAACACACCAGTGGGAATGGAAGGAGGCGAAGCATTGAGCAGATGTTTTCACCAGTACAGTGGCTGATTTATGGTAACGTTCCTAGTTCAAAGAGAACTCTAATAACTAGTTTTGTTAGTTTGAAGTATTTGCAGGACATTCACATCAAAGTGCCCGGCAGGTACTTGGGAGTTAAGGCCTGGTGCGCAGGCCCAGAAAGGACATAAATTTGTGAGTCCCTTAACCAGACCCTGGAAATAGTGGAAGTTGTACAGAAAAACAGCACATTTATCCCAGTCCTGTCCTTGGCTCTGGTGGAGAAGAAAATGGAGGCCACTTAGTTGTTGAAGCTACTTTTAAAATCAGCCCTTAATTCTCCAATTTAGGTATTAAGTTTTTTTACTCGTTTTAGTTACTTTTTAAAAATATGTAATAGTAAATCTCATTGCTAAATTTTTATTTCTGTACAGAAGGAATATTTTTAAACAGCACTTCATTCATTTACTACAAGCACCTTTCATTTTAAAGAAGTTAGTAAATGGAAATATCATTCTTACATGTAGTAAATAGGGAACCTAGAAAGCAGCCAACTTCTAAAGGACAAAAAAATACTCAACAGTTGGTACTGAGTTGTCCAAAAAGAGTAATTTTTTAAAGTGGAGGTAAATTAACAACATTATATTAGTTTCAGGTACACAACGTAGTGATTTGATATTTGTATTTATAAGAGTAATTTCTTTTGAATCCCAGGAATGGAAGATTGTGAAACAATGGAAGATGTGTATATGGCTTCAGTGGAAACGGATCGGGGAGTAAAGGAACAGTTACATCTTTATGACACCAGAGGCCTGCAGGAAGGGGTGGAACTGCCCAAGCATTATTTTTCATTTGCCGATGGCTTTGTTCTCGTATACAGTGTGAACAATCTTGAATCCTTTCAAAGAGTGGAGCTTCTGAAGAAAGAAATTGATAAGTTCAAAGACAAAAAAGAGGTAAGTGGGTATGTTAAAAATGCCAACTAGGAATTATAATACTATTTAAATTGTAGCATGGACTTTGAGGTAGTTAAAATATTTTTAAAGCATCAGTGTGTATTCACAGTATCTGTAATCTTCATTTTTTTCCTTAGCCCAGGAGACACAGGACTGACTGAGTTCAATCAGAACCAGCATGTGACTTTCTGCCTTTGCTTGTTACCACGTATAAGTTGAATTTTAATGATTCCCTATCTCAAGAACTACATTCCGTATCTCAAGTTCCTTTCATATTGTTTGGCATCACTGTTTCTTAGGTCTCTTTACTGTTTCCTAGGTTAAATAGGATTCTTGTCTTCAGCCTTACCAAAAAGAAAAGAAAACACTTAATTTTTGGATCCTACACATTTACCACTTAAAAATAAGATACTTATAATGGTCTATAAAGTCTTACATGACTTGGCCCACGCCTGTCCTTTTCATCGTAGCTTTATTCTGTTCCTCTGTCACTTGTACTGCACTGACACTGGTCTGCTTTCTGTTTTGTCAACATGATAAGTTTGTTCCCCTATTAAGCCCTTTTCAATTGCTGGTTCTCCTGCTTGGAACTCGCTTATCACAGATCTTTTCCCAGATCTTCACATGGCTGATTCATCATCTAGGAGTACATCATGCACTGTACTGGTTAACAGCACTGGCTAAATGTTTTTAACCTAAATTTTTATATTTATTTTTATGTTAAACTTTTTGAGATGATTGTAGATTCACATGCAATTTTAAGAAATGAGATCCTTACCTAGTTTGCCCCAATGCCAACACTGTGCAAAACTGTAGTACAATATTACAACCAGGATAGTGACGTTCATACAGTTAAGATACAGAAAATTTCCATCACTGCAAGAATCCTTCAAGGATTCACAAGGTTCAATCTTCAAAAGATACAAAAAGGCAAGTTGAAGGCACCCCTGCATCCTGTTTTCCACCGTCCTATCTAAACAGATAAATGCTATTTGCTGGAGTATCGTCCAGGTTCCCCTTCCTGTCCCCCGCCAAAGTTGAAAGACTAGTTCAGTGAACACTCATATATACTTGATACTTGAATGTTGGCTCTGTGCTTCAACTTCCCTGTCTCAGTTTCCTTAGCTATAAAATGAGGATAATAATAGTACCTTCTTCATATGGTTGTTATGGGAACTTAAGCAGCAAATTCATTCAGCAAATGCTCGTTGAGCAACTACTACATGCCTGGCATTGCTCCAGGTGAGGGGCGGGGATATAACAGAGAACAGAACAGTCCCTGTTCCCCTAAAGCTTCTATTTTGGGAGTGAGGGGGGAGAGCCAATGAACAAATATATGAAGAGCAATGCCATGTAGAAAAGGAAAGCAGAGTGGGCAGTGAGGGAACTACTATATTTTCTGTGGGGTGATTTGGAAAGGCCTCCCTGATGGGTGACTTTTAGCAGAAATTTGAAGGAAGAGCAGGAGGGAGCCACGCTGCTGAGGAGGAGTGCGCTCCAGGTGGAGGGACTAGCGGGGGCCAGGGTCTGCTTGTCATGTCAGGAATACCAGTGAGGCCAGCGTGGGCTAGGGAGAGTGCGCTAGGAGATGAGGGCAACACTTCGGATTGGAAACCACTGGTGTTAAGCTAAGGAATGACATGATCTGGCTTAGGTTGCCTTGATTTATTTTCATGTTCATTTAAAAAAAAAATTGAATAGGTAATGTTTGCACATGACTCAAAAATAAAAATGATATACAAAAAGGACTACACTGAACTCTACTTCCCACCCCTGTCAACCACTGAGTTCCTGTACCTCAAGTTATATTTTTTTGTATTTTACCACTTGACTAGTTTTGGGGTACCCTTCCAAAGTTATGTAAATACAAGTAAATAGGAATACACATTTTTTCCCCCATATTTTTCTTTCCTACACCAAAGGTAGGATATTGTTCTGCACCTTGTATTTTTCACGTAATATATCTTGGAGTCCTTTCCATATTAGTCCTCAGATTCCTTTTTTATAACTGATGCATAATAGTCATTGTGTGGATGTAAATGTATCACACTTATTTAACCAGTCCAAAATTGATGGACACTAGGGTTATTTCCAGTCATTTGCTATTATGAACTAGGTAAAATAGTAATTTGAAAAGA